AGCACAGAAGTATGGGTAAACCTCATGGGAAAGCTACCAAGAAAGTGTAATTTGTATGCAAAACAATGGTTTGGGTGACTGAAGGTAGGATGAAACTGTCTACCTGAATATATTTTAAGATTTCTGAGAAGGACTCAAACAGCCCCTAACTGCAACCTTAACTGGGCTTTTGAGGTTTCTGGGCCTCTAAATTCTTGTTGGCAAGGTGAGAGATGGGAATACAAGGTATGCCTGGAGTAGGTTGAGTTGTTGCTAAAAACAAAACAAAACAAAACAAAAAGTGCTTTTGTTTGCTGCCTTGTTTTGCTTTATCTCAGGGCCCTGTAATTACAGGCAGCAGGGATCAAGGGCCCGTGGCGTATGTGGCAGCACCCCCACCCCTGGAGTGAGAGGGCACCCGAGACTGAGGGCACCCGAGACTAAGAGAAGGAGTGCAGTGTGGGGGAGGTGTTCCCTGGCTTCCCTATGCAGCACGGACCCCCTGGGTGGAGCTCAGCAGACTGGCAGTCAGACGGCACTGTACACGTCACAGATGGAAACTGAGACTGGGGAGCCCCAAACCAGATTTTGTGGTCATACAGTTAGAACCCCGGACCCTAGCCTTCATCCCGCTGCTGTCTCCTGGGGTTTTTCCTCCGGTTGTACTGCAAACTGTGAACGCAGACCATGGTGAAATCTTGGGGGTCCAGGCACTTTCGGCACAGGGGTGCTGAGGGGAAGCAGGGAGAGGAAGTGAGGGTCAGTCCCAGGCTGCTCCTGGGCCAGCCTCCTCCCTGGTCCCTGTAGCCCCTGGATGTGGCATGGTGGGGGCTGCGCACATATCCACGAGGCATGGGGAAATCAACCTCGAACGGCTAATCGCCTATCCAAACATTGTTGGTAATCTGCATCCCTAAAATAAACCCTTGAAAGATGGAAAGATGTTAGTAATTTCTGGCCATATGTGCCTCCTCCTTTCCTACTCTCCCCACCTCAAAAAAAGAAAGTGAGCCAAATGGCAAGAAATAAAGAGCTTAATGCATAACACATTTTCATCATTTGAGCTCCCCCCTCCCCTCACTGTTCCCCCCACCTATGTAAACTAAATTCCTTTACACGGTCATGGCAAAGGAACATTAATTTTTGATTTGAGTTGTGATTAAAAGCAACACAATCAAAAGAGTGAAATAGTTTCCACTGAAGCAATATCATTTTAAACTGAGTCATGGTATAGTAGGAAAGAGTGTGGTCTTTGGGGTTCGGTGTGGGTTCTAGTCTTTATCTTCCTGGTACAAACTGTGGCCTTGTATTGTCAGTACTTTGTCCGAGTCATTCTCCTTGATTGTAATAAGTAATGTTGATGCCTTCTTGACATGGCTGTATGAGCATTGCTGGAATCAGGCACAGGGCACCTTCCCTGGCTCCTATATGCAGTCCAGCTTGTGGGGGTGCTCAGTAAATGGTGATTCACCTCTCCGTAGAAAAGAGGATGCCCATGTTGTCATCTGGGAATGCTTTCATCTTTCCTGGCGGTGTAAGTCATGGCTCTTCTCTCAATGCTTGCTTCTCAGCCTTTGATTCTGGAGAGTAGATCGGGACTCATCTAACATCTTGGGGCTGCTTCTTGGAGGGTCTTGTGAAAGGAACAGTATTGTTCCCACTGCCTGACTGCACGTGGTTCTCTTTGCTGCCATTTTTTTTGATAAGTGGTTTCTTCCAGCCTTGCTTGCTACTTTGCAGAGATTTGGTTTAGCCTTAGTGTGGATAGTGAGTCTCGTAGCTGATCCTTCGCCAATGCTGATGAGCACTTTCCTCATCAAGGAGCCACAGGCCAGAATAAGTGAAGTCTTTTCTCAAGTGAACAGGACCACAGCAGGTACACGGTCTAGAAGCCAACCATGGAAGCTATGTGGGTGTGGGCCTGCTTGGGCATGTCTGGGCTGAGGTCTCGGGGTGGATTTTGCTGCTTTCTACTTGCTGCATGCTCCCCACTGGTTCAACCACTACCTCCTCTCCATGGTGGGGGTGGGAGTTCTGCATAGTCTGAAACGCCAGACTATGGCACTGGCTGGTTAGGGCTGGGGAGAGAGTTAAAGATGGAAACTGTTCAGCCCACTCCCATGTGTGCTGGGAAGACCACCCCGGGAGGTCTAGGTTAATCCTCAGCAAGAGCATTCTGTTGCTTCCTGCCAGTTCCTGAACCTTCCGTCACCCTTGGGAGTGAGGCATTTCTTAAGAGGTACCAGGCCTAGGATTTTATGTGAGTTAAGTAGGCGTCAGGGTCTGGAACTCTTTTGGTGAGATTTTTTTTCCTTTTTTTTGTAAGAAAATGATTGTGGCTGGAGCACGTTTAATTTACTGAGTTTGACACCTTTGTTCAAAATTTGTTCCTAGGAATTCCCCTCTTCCTTATTCTTGGGCTACCAAGGGTGTGGGTTTTTTTTTTCTTTTTTAAAGATTTATTTATTTATACATACAGAACTGGGGTACAGGCCAGAGATGGGGAGGGTGAGAGGATTCACCAGAGACAGAGTGGGGAGCAGAACAGGCACATCTTCAAAGTACACTGCTGAGGGGAGCAGCGGGCGGGTCAGGAGAGGTCTGCTGTGCCATGTGGGTCACCTCCGAGGGAGCTAGGGATCAAACTCATGCTGAAGTGGCTTTAGCTTCTTAGCGCTGTGCTTTAACCAGCTGTGCCACCAGGGAGGGCCAAGGGTGTGTTTTTTAATCAACTAAAAATTTAATCATGAGACCTTCACAAATGCAGCTTGCTGGAGTAGCTCCATCAACCAAGAGGATTCATTTCACCATTTTCTAATTCAAATCACTTTTGAATGTGGGTGAAACTGAGAACAGGGTCTGATCGTCTCCCCCTACTTTTGTCGGTCTATTTAGTCACACACTACATTTTGCAGCCATTCTAAATAACTCTGCAACCGTAGTCAGCCATGAATTACATGGTGATTAAAAGGGTACATTCAGACATGGGTTTATATTTAGGATTAGCAACTTCGAGCCAGTAAATTTAACCCGTACACCTCAGTTATCTCACCTGTTTCGGGGGACATAATTGTACCTTTCTCATGACCTTGTTAAGTTTAATTGAGGAAATGCATGGAAAATACTTAGCATATTTCCTTGCATGCCATATGCTTTTGTAATTGTTAGCTACTGTTGCTTAGTTTAGATTCACACAATTCCTCATGAAAGCTTTGAGTTATTAAAAAGTGGGCGGTTGGTCAATTTGAATTCATGAGGATTCAGAGAATGTACAAATTATCTGGTGACTAGCATCTAGAAAACGATCTTCAGTCTCTTTATAATTATCTGGAGCTGGTCCTCGAGGTCTGGTGACAGCAACAGCAGGTGTTCATTTCCAGGTGACAGAAATGTCTCCTTCTGAACTGATCTTCAGTTGGCCCCAGGTAGCCATTACTAAAGTATCTGATCCACAGGTTAAAAAAATACCATTAAAATGCAGGGTCTCAGGCCCTCCCTGGTGGCGCAGCGGGCTAAAGCACAGCACTAAGAAGCTTAAGCCACTTCCGCATGAGTTCGATTCCCGCCTGCCCTGGAGGAGATCCACATGGCGAGGCAGACCTCTCCTGACCCGCCCGCTGCTCCCCTCAGCAGTGTACTTCATTAATCTGCCTGTTCTGCTCCCCACTCTGTCTCTGGTGAATCCTCTCACCTTCCGCATCTCTGGCCTGAAACCCAGTTCTGTATGAATAAATAAATAAATCTTTAAAAAAAAAATGCAGGGTCTGCCGAGACAAAGAGAGAAGGCAGGGTTGGTGGTTGTACTAGTTCCCTTTCTGCATGGTTTGCGGCGAGCACAGAAGCAGCCTGAGGACCCTATCAGAGAGGGGCGGGGGAGGGGGGCACGAGCACCTGTGAGCATCGCCAGGACCCGCTCTGATTTGGCAGGAGGTCACAGTAGAGTTTGGTCCTGTGTGTTCTACTCAGCATGGAACTTGGGTGGGACCCTTAGTGGTTGGTTAGTGGCCTGCTGCTGGGGACTCTGGTTTCTCCAGTGCTGATGGGAGAGTTGATATTGGGTACACCTAACCATGATATTTTGAGGTGCTCATTCACTTTCCTCTTGCTGGCTATGCACACATAGATCCTGTCTTGTTTATAGAGCCCAACTTTGGGAATTTTGGGTCCCCTGGATAACAAAAAGCAAAATCAATAATTTTCCTTAAAAACAACCAAACAGCTCAGGAGGTTTTTTCCTATGAATGCTAAAGTAGAGACCAGCAATAGCATCAAATGATGTGGATCATACTGGATTGCTTGATCCTCTTTTTAATTATAGATATATTTAGCTTGTTAATGAAGTACATTGTTTTACATCCTTGTTAATATTGTGACTAGGATTTCTCCCCAAGGTGTAGTTGTCGTGACTCTCCACCACTAGAGTATCCACAGTCCATTGTGCCCTTCTCCTCCCCGTTTCTCATCCTTCCTCCCTGCTTCTCCCTCCTCTCCTCCCCTAGTGGGTGCCACAGATCTATGGTCAGTTTTCAAGCGCTGGTTTTATAGATTGTCTTTGTCTGACCCTTTGTTTGGTTTCTCTATATGCCACATATAACTAACCCCATCTGGTATTTATCTTTCTCCTCTGGCTTACTTCACCAAGCATGATCCCTTCCATCTACATTGCCACAGTGGCATGAGTTCATCTCTTTTGGTCACTGAGTAGTATTCCACATGTATCTATACCACAACTTCTATGATCCTTGTCTACTCTTAAAGCATTATACCATATTCTGAGTCACTGAATTAAAAAAAAAATGTCATTTGGTCTTGCAATTTTATTTGAGAATCTCAAGGCTCAACCACTGAGAGGCCATGAGAAGCTTTTTCTCCACCAGGTAGAATTCCTCCTGCCTTTCCTTGCTTTCCTATTTGCCTTTTATGTCATCTCCACCTTCTGCTGTGTATTTGGGTTATTTTAGATGGCAACTAAATGCTTTTTCTCCCCCTTCTCTCCCTTTCTTTGTCCTCACTACCTCTAGCACTGAGGATGAAAATCAAAGAAGTGAAAAAAGAAAATGGTGACAAAAAGATTGTCCCCAAGAAGAAGAAGCCTCTGAAGTTGGGGCCCATCAAGAAGAAGGAATTGAAGAAGCTTGTCCTGTACCTGAAGAACGGGGCAGACTGCCCCTGCCATCAACTGGACAACCTCAGCCACCACTTCCTCATCATGGGCCGGAAGGTGAAGAGCCAGTACTTGCTGACGGCAATCCATAAGTGGGACAAGAAAAACAAGGAGTTCAAAAACTTCATGAAGAAGATGAAAAATCACGAATGTCCCACTTTCCAATCTGTCTTTAAGTGATTCTCATGGGGCTGGGTGGGGAGGGAGCCTTGGGTTGGGTGCGGGGTGGGGGCTGGACAGATCACCCTGAACCAGGGCGTTCACACTCCTTGCTCCCCTGTTGGTGAAGTCCGCTGTCATCCATTGCCTTATTCCTGCAGCACCCCTCTTCTGCCCCTCCATAGCCATGCTCCAGAACCCAGTATAGCCAATATTTAAAGCCGCATGCCCAGGTAAGGGAGACCATTTAGCTTAGGGAGCTCTTTAAGTTTTACAGTGTGGAACAAAAGCACATTGCTAAGTAAAAGGAGGTGCAAAAACTTCCACCAGAGACACAGTCACTAAGTAAGAACATATTGCCAGTAAAAAAGGGGGATTGGACAAAAAAGTGAGAGACAGCAGCAAAAAGTCAGCTCTGCAACTTTCTTTGTATGATTACAAACATGCTTGTGAATCCACCAGCTGAATCTACGCCTTTGAAAGTAGGAAGTTCTAACGATGGGTTAGTGCCAGACTATTTTCTCTTTCTACCTGCTTTAGATAGAAACAGATACACAAGACATGTACAAAGTGAGGTCAGCTACAGAAAGTAGAAGGTGCAGCAAGAAAGCACAAGTACAGGAGATAACCATGAAAACTAAGGAAACCTTGTGATTCTCAGGCCTCAGGCGGTGTGGGTCAGCTGCCTCAGCGTGTGATGTAATCTCTGGTCCTCTGGTCCTGTGTGGGGCGCCACGTGCCTCCTCTGTGTGAGTGGAAGGAAACCGTGGGCTCCAAACCCTGGCCATGAAAGAGACAATGATTTTCAGACTGAGAAGGCAGTGGTTAGTGGTTTCAAAAAACGTAGTTAAAGGAGAAAAAAGGAAAAAAATTACAACAGTGCAGGAAATTGCTAGTCAGGGGGAATCGTAATTGGGTGAAGAGCTTTAGAATTTTAATCTCATCTGTTCATTTCACATTGGTTTTAGTGAACAACAACAACAGAAACCCCTACTTCGAGATGTCTGTTAGAAAACTCTACATTGGGCATTAGAAAGGGGTTCTAAGACCACCTGGGGCTATTTTGGAGCAATGTGGCACTCTACTTGGCTTTTTTGGAAGAAGATGACTTGTCGATCCGGCTTCCTGAGGAGTTCTGGGTTTCCTGGGGCCCAACACCACACCTGTTTAATTCACAGTGCTCCCATTCTTTTCTTTCCTGAAGAAGTGGATTCCTTTAAACTTGACTGCCCGTAGGTCAAGAAATTCAAAACAGCCTGCTTGCCTATCCTCCTGTGCTTAAAAAGAATTTTTCCTTCTGCACAGGCAAAGTAAGGCTACAAATGTCCCCCTCCAAGGTGAAAGTTTCAAAGACAGTTTTGCAGTTTTTCCTGAATGCTCTAAGTTATTTCTCAAAGCCCTTGTGTTTAATAAGTGACGGACATAAGCTTGTTCACTTAAGTACCTCTATTTCTCTTGTTCAGTGTGTGAGAAGTAATGCTAAAAATTACTGTTATCTTCGATCCTCCCTCCCCCCCAGCCTGATTAATTCTCTCTAACACCTCAAGGACTTTAATGATTGTCCCTCTGAGCGAATGTTTATACCGAGTCCAGACCGCATTGAGGCTGGGACCAACTATTGCTCTCACCCCACCCTGGCTTGACATAGAAACAGTGGAAGCTTCTGTTAACTTCCAAAGACTCCCATCTCAAAATCAAACTTCATTACCTACCTGAGGGTTGTCCTGCTTTAATTACCATCTCACATTTAGTGATCCCATCATTTTGACAGTTTTATTTAGTTCTCGCTGACTGTAAGCCATCAAGTTTTGGGGCTCTTCTGTGATTTGCTATAATTTTGGATGGTTTTAAAAATGTGTACATATATATTAGTTAATTAGAAATATTCTTTCCTATTGTCAACTGAAATTCGGAGCCATTTTCTGAGTGTGTGTGTCTCAGACTTAGTTTTGATTAACTCAAGAGTTCAGTGCTCTATGTAGAGATCTGCTTGTTTTGACAGAGTGAGTCAGACAAGAAGGCCCTCTGTCCAAGCCGGGCCATAGGAACAGTGTTTATGTGGGACATTAGCTGTTACATTACACAGACAAATGGAGGTAGCCATGCTATGCAGCTCACAACTGGGAATTCTCAGTGGGAAGCAACATATTCAGAAAGAATTCAACATAAAGTGAAATGTGAATTGCAGCTACAGAGTCCTTGGATGACCTTCACTGTGGTCCTGAGATTGACACTAGCAAGGTCCACAGTATATCAGTGATTTCAGGGTACACAGGGAGCCGATGGGCCCAAAGCTGCATTTTTTTTTTTTAAGTCTTTGTTGTTCACAACCATCAACATATGAAAACCAGTGTGCGACTCATTGGCTTAGCCATTGGTTTCCAAAAGAGGCGGTCTGTGTGGGATTTGGTAATGATGACTAGTGCAAAGGTAGGATTTGTAAAGATTTAAAATAGTCATTCTGGAAGAGTCCTGCGGGGTCACTGGCGGAAAACTCATACAAATCTTCGAAGAACATTAGTAATTAGTTACCTTAGAAGGAAGAGTGAGGTGAGAGTCCCAAGAATGCTTTTATATATATATA